TGCATAATACCAATCAAATATTTTCCATGCGAATGACTGAAGTTTTCGTAATCATCAGTTATCATAAACATTTCACATTTTGTAATAAACGCAAACAAATGTCTAGTGAAAAATTTAAAAAGAAGAATCTAGTATTTACCAGATCTTCTAGTTCTATAAATCTTATAGAATCTATAAAAATAGTTAATGATTTCAGTTGGTTATATTATGAATTAAATACATTTTTACTTAAATCCATTAGATTAAAAAAACGTAATATTCTTAAGAAATGCATTTTATTAAGAAATGCATTTCTTAAGAAATGCATTTTTAAGCAGCTAAGCTTAATCATTAACAAGCAGATAGATTCTGAATGATAAATATCTTAGGCAACAGATTTGAATGATAAGCAAGATTTAAATGATTATTATTTGAATGAAAGTTATCCTGGACTTAAATTTATTTCTTAAATAAATATTCGATTTATGCTACACAATTTCTTTCAGCATTTTCCTGGCATTATTTGAAATATAAATAAAAAATGCCAATTGAAATGGCACATTAATTTAGAAGTCAGAATTGTCTTTTCAGAACATTATATTAGTTTCACGAATTATGGTTTTGTAAACATAGTAATTAACTCCATTATTGTTGCATTGGGGCACTCGATATAATACATTTGGTTGCAATACTCTAAATTTTACTAGCTCTGGTTTATTTTTTTTTTATTATACAGATATTTATTACGATGCTTTTATTTACTTATTTACTTTTCAAAAAATCAATATAAATGCAAATAAAGGTGTTTTGATGAGTGCATGTAAATTTTTGCGACTGAGTATGTATGTCTGCCTATTAAAAGTAAGCAATGAAAAAGTATTGAAATATACCGTTAAAGATGCATTTTGGGATTTATTGTTCAATGCTGTTTTTGTTCGAAGTTTAGGTTATTTCGCCGTCAGTGAAATGCAATTTGATTAGGCAAGGTTTTATTGAGTATGAATAAAATAATCGGTAATATAAAATGTTTTATATTTTTAATGAATTACCTCAGCTTCTTCACTTCTTTGATCTCAGAGAGCATTGGCTATACAAACACATTTTAAAATTCATTTTTAACAAGATGCAATATTGTATTCGGATAGTGTTAGCTTAATGTTATTTACCCGAGAACGAAATTCAGCAAAACTCTGAGAAAGTTTGCTCAAAATGCGAGTGTTGTAAATGGAAACTCAGCAATCTCAAACCGATTGCTATAAATGCTTCAGAATAATGGTTGTTGTGCAGTCTATAGCACACATTGATCCCCCAGAGATGCCCGAGTTTCGCAACTATAAGTGATGACTATTATTCACAGTAGACAGGGAAATAATTTTCGTAGGGATTTCCTGCAAAGAGACTAGAACTGCGCAGCAATATTAATGGGTAGTTCGATGGCATAGTAGGAAGTTCTACTCTCTACTCTTTCTGAGTTTGAAACAAGATAGCTATTTAATTACTTTTGATTAATCACTATATCGTATTTACATAGCAGTTGCCATAGAAAAAGCAGCATATAACGCTGTTTATAAACTTTCATGTAATTTCAATAAAGGAAGTCGATTTACAACCGAGGAATAAGTAGTGTAAAATAAGGGAAAATTTTATGTGTTAAACCGAGTTTTAGCAGTGCCGTTTATCAAATACTATTGGATTGCGAAAAAAGTCCATAAAAGCAGTACTTCTTTACACAGTTTGGGCTTTATATATTTGTGTAAATGAATGAAAGTAAATAATTCTGTACTAAAAATAAGTATAATATTATTTTATTCGAAGCAAAATTTGAACTGACATATGTTTTTGGTAATTTGGATTTGAGGCTAAAAGTTGTTGAAATTACGACGTTTTGATGCATTTAAATAATTTCTTTGAACTGAGTATCGGATAAAAGAACACTAAAATAAATACTTTGAAGTGAGTATCGGTAAAAGAACACTAAAATAATTACTTTGAAATGAGTATCGGATAAAAGAACACTAAATAGTTTTTTCATCCGTTTAAACGTTTGAATATTCCTGTTTCGTTTACGTAACTTTCTGGCAATACTCAAAGGTTTATATTAAAATACAAATATTTTAATTTCAGAATAGTATAATAGATATAAAAGTAATTATATCTTTGATTATATATATATATATATATATATAGTATTATATATCTAATATTATAAATGCTGTTAGATATATATAATTTATATATATATATATATCTAATAGCATTTATAATATGCAATGTTTCCACAAATGTTCTTAGATGGTCTGTATTTTTCTTTAACGGCTGGTTATAGATGTATATAGTATCCTCCACTTTTTAAAGTCAGTGGTTAATAAAATGAGCGACTTATGTTCAAATTTCCAGGTACTAAACTCTATTCCACACGAAAACATTGTTCGTAAATAATTTAAACTTTTTTAAAAACATAAATAATTACGTAGGTTAATCTTTTTAAAGTGTTACGTTTTTCCTTTTCTGACACCAGTTGTTGCGTTATTTTCTTCGTTCACGTTCGTACGGGGTTTGTGGATTTGGTGTGAATAACTACGACACTTGATGAAGTATCGAAACACACTTTATTTAGCCAATATTAATCAGGACAGCTCTAATAACACTTTTTACAGTCGTCGAAGATCTACTATAAGCACGTTGGAACAATCAGTGACACAGCCTTCACACTGTGAGGCGATAACGGTGGAGATAGCTTCACTGCAAAGCACCCGAGTACAGCCCCCAACTCTGCTTGGTTGTTCTCGGGACTCCGCGTACTCTCGAGACTCTCCACACGATGCACTTTACGACACACAGAGCTCAGCTCCTGACTCCGCGCTACACTAACAGACTCCTTCGGTGCACTCGACGACCCACTCGGCACTCGCTGGCCGGCTGCCAACGCGATTGCCTCCGCAGGGATTGACTTGCTGGACGAGACACACTCACCCGATGAGAGACGCACACTAACTGACTGCGGACCAGCAGGGTTTAGTTTTTGGCTTGTGTTCGAGAACATTCTGGGCTAAACCGGTAAGAATTCGTTCCAGAAGGTTCTCCATCCGTCCATGGCACGTTGCCAATTTTGTCGCCAAATGTGGCAACCTTGCCTTCCCTTGCCATTTTATGGCAACCCTAACATTGTTTTGCGGAAAAACCATTTTAGCGCGCCTGTACATTTCGTAACAATATCTTCTTAGCTTGTACTTATGTTCAGCAAAATCGTATGCTCATTATAAAATTTAAAAACGTGTGATGCAAATTGACGGCGATATTTTCCTTTAAAGAATCGGTTAAAAATAAGTTAAAAATATTTGAAGTTGACTTTTTCCTTTGAATGCCGTTCATGATTATAAGGTGTCCACAAAGCCTGTGAACAACTTATTATGAGTACCGTATAAGATATAGTGCTGTAAAAGTTTCTAGTGATAGTAAACATATATCAAAGTTCTTTCCCAAAAATTTGCTTTGGTCTAATATACATACAATGCGAAGGTATGGGGATCCAAAAATGCTCATGTCGCAAAGGAGATGGAGTGGTATAGTCTGAAAATAAATGTTTGGTGAGGAATGCTGTATGACCATTTTCCTTCGGTGAATACACAATAACAACCACAGTATATCTAAATTCGCTAATCACATTTGCGCACAGTTGGCTGAGCGTCAATCACAGGTCGTTTTGCCACACGTCGAGGTTACGAAACATGTGTCACTCGTCGCGAGAAAAACAACTTCCTATATTTTTTGTGATCTACTGTTGCATAACGTTGTTTATAATTTTGTTACAAATGATAAGGCGAAAGAATTTGTATACAAGTAATTTATAAGTTTTCAAAGGCTAAAAATACATTATTAATATTCTGACATAGTTTTATTGTTTTTAGTCATAATTTAATCTCACAAGAATTTATTATCTAGAAATATTTTTAATCTTATTTATATAATGGTATCAGTTACTATATGCCAATAATGAAGCTTGCTATTTTTTTAAAATTACGTGAATAAGATCTTCTTTTTCCAAAACGTTGATTTTAACCGTTATGTTTTCATTTTCATAATAATTTGCATAAAAATGCTCATTTCTTAATCTTTAACATGAGAACCGATCTTTTAAACTCACATTTTATAATTAGTTACGTAAAATCCCAGAAATATCGCTCTGCAATATATGTACGACTCTTGAATATGATCTGCAACTTTAAAATGAAATATATTGAGTTTGTATCGTACAGGGATCGGGCATGATTTTCTGTGTATTTTTAAATGTCTACATAAATTTTCTAAATATAAGGACAGAGAAAACGTTTTAAAAGTTCAATATTGTAATGTTTCCATATATATATTCAAATTTTAAAACGCCAAAATATGAACAGTTTTGTCATTTAAAACGTTTTTGTAATTTGAAATACGTATGTGTCTGTGAAAAACGGCTGCGAAAAATAAAGACCGGTTAAAGACGAATGTGGGCACAATGAGTTTATAATCGTATATAGAAACTGAGTTTGAATGCGTATATACCAAATGCAAAATACTTATTACTAATCTGTATGCTTACTTCGTTGCAGAAAACTGGAAAAGTATAATGACTATTACAGAAATCTAAAAGCTTTAAAACCGCATTTGATTAAACTTAATTGGATGTATATAATTTGAAAACTAAGTTGAATTTATAGAAATATACTTTATAAAGAACATAGTATTTTGTAATGATACAACATTTTAGTATGTGCTATATGGTAATATATGTTATATAACAATAGTAGTTTATAGTATGTTATATTTAGTTTTATATGCAGTTATGTAGCAGAACCCACATATTATATGTACACAGTACTGTATTGTAATTTGTAGCTACAGTTCTAGAAGAACTTTAACATTAGAGGCTAACATTAGAGATGTTCGTTAAATTTCAATTATACGAAATAATTAAAGCTAGAAATGCTTAATTCTTTCATATTCTATTGCTTTTTCTAACTTCCAACCTTTTTTTCTTTCAGCTGTTGATGTATACTTGTATTCTGTTGTGTTTCGAGGGATGAAATTAGCCGGAATCATTCTTACTATGATAGGATTCTGTCTCGTTTTACTCCCAGAAAACTGGCCGGACTATCTCACCATGATGCTGAGATGGCGAAGAAACAAATACCCTCAGGGGAACAATTGTAATCCAGACGTTAGAACGAGTTACACTTCTAGACTTAGAACTCAAAGTGGAAGAGTCAAGTAGTGAGCTCATTAGCACAAGGAAATCAAAGGTTGTGTGTACAAATAATTTTCTTTCAGAAGGAGTCTAAAGCGTCTTCATTTTCTTCTCATAACATTTATGTTTCATTTGTTTAGTATAACGAACATGCTTTCTACGGATCAATGCACTTGCGTTCAAAGCGGTTTGAAATATTTTCGTCGTCGTTTAACACTGAGTGAACAATGGTGATGCGTGCAAAAAACATGTGAGCTTAATATTGCTCAAACCCTGGCGTTGTATTATGTGTAACACGAATTAAATTATCTTAGCTTCGAAACTATTACTGCTTGAATTCTCTGAAACTAATGAATTTGTATATAGAAATACATAAAAATGTGAAAACAATATAATATGCAAGACCTTAATTTTGAGACTAAGGCATTATTTTCAATATTTTGTTTGGACTATAAGAACATCTTTTAAAGTGATCCTAAGGCAAATAATCAACATTGAGATATCAGACAACGTGCTAAGATAAAGGGCGTACCATTTGCAATAAAATGTGATTTGCACTAGCTGGTTCTTTGAACAGGAAGTAATTAGGAACAAAATATACGGCTAATTGTTATTAAGGTATAGAATGCGAAGTTACGGCTTGGCGACAGGAAACAGGAAAGAGTATTTAAACAGGGTTTTGAGCTAAACAATAATGGAACAGCAATTCACGAGAGCTCTTAAAAATGAAGTAGATTTAAGAAAGTTGACTTAACGAAATAATTATGATAATTTTTCAGATTATGTATATTTGTACCCTAGCAGTCATTATCTATGACTTTAATAAAACAATCATTGTCATAGACAGGGTGTATACTTACATGTACATTATAATTTTATGAAGATATATCAATATTTTTGTTAAAATTTAAAAAATATATTTTAAGATATTCTTCTTTCGCGTTTCATGGAATAAATTTAAACCTTCATCAAACTTATATGGAAGATTCTAACGTGAATTTCATAAACTATTTCAGAATTTTCGTAAATAAATATTTAAATAAACTTATCTAAATATTTGAATTAAAAATTTCGAAAGTACAATGTATGTAGTTTGAATATTTGTTGAGAAAAATGTTTCACTATCAGATTTGTTTTTACTGTAACAGGATCTGGCATTAGGGTCTTTATTCTCTCAGCTATTTGCAGTGGTGCTGCTGTTAAGTAGACTGCATGTATTTAAATATAAGAAAATGTACTGATGAAGAAAGTTTTAAATTTACACATTTAAGAATAATTTTGGTTTAGATGTTGTACCACATCTTTCGATATGCAAACTCTATGTGTATAAAAGTCAGTTTTTCTTTTATTTATATATACATGAATTCCTGTATGTGTACTGATGAAATGTTTGATAGCTGCACAAAAGTGTTTTGTATGTTAGTGTACTGTTTTGTACCAAAAATGAATTATTTTATTTTGCATAGTAATATTACAGTTTATTTATTCTTATCTTTAAATTTTGCATCGCTTTTGACAATGAAATTCTTATAAAAACAATTAAATTATATTTCTATGTTTTGAAATTTACCAGCGAAGTTACGTAAGACAGTTTGTTAAGGTGAAAATTTTAAAAATCTATGCTAAAAGAATTTAGATACCATATATAACTCTCCTAATATTAAATTTTGTTTTCTTGCATTTCTCTTGTTTGTGGAATTCTATGTCGAATAATTTTAAAACATTATTTTTTAACTTTCTCATGTACCAGTATTTCATGATTAGTTAACACATTCAAGATTTAGTTAACGCGTGAAAACTTAAAACGAATCAATTTAGATTCTAATCGAATTAATCTATTTAGATTCGTTCAATGTCATTTCGAAAATTTATTATTTCACCCTAATTACTAACAGTATTTTTCTAAATGCCTGTTGCGAATTTAATTTACTTCTATGTTAGATAAATTATATACATATTAAGTACAGATAAGAATATAATATTATTTAAACATTTAATAATTTAAGGATGTGTTTAAGATTATAGTTTTGCAGATACAAAGAAATAATGAGCTGAAATAGACTCGCAAATTGTAGAAAAGAAAATAATTGAATTACTTAATCGATTTTAAAGATATTTCTAATAAAGCAGTATATTAGTTCTCAAATTCGCTAAAATGAGCTTTTCCCTTCAGTTTAACAGTAGCATTCAATTTTTAAATGTAAGTTTTTAAATTAAGAACTGAAAAAAATAAAGAAGTGTAATGCTTTATTATTACGTATTTATGTATGGTGCAAGATATAATATTAAGTGTTTCGAAAGTAAATCGATATTAGTTGTAATATTTGTTAGATTGTTAATATGTGTGTTGATAGTGATAAATAATCACATTATATTACATAGAGAAATGTATGTGTGTAGAAAATATTTTACAATGAAAACGGGAAGAAAGAACAAGATATATATTCTTTCGTAAACAATGCTGTAATATAAAACTTCTATATGTTTTTTATATTTTTTCATAATAATTTAGTTACTGTGTAAATAATGAAGCATATTTCTAATGCTTTTTTAATTCCATGATTTTTTAAAAAGAGCTTCGAAACAAAACAAAAATAGAATTTATTTCTAGGTGAAAATGTTTTACATACTACTGTCGATTTTCTACAATGAAATCAGCTTTCGTTTCATGCATATCATCATTGTTAACGCGCTAAAGTTTATTTTCAATTTCAGAAGAATGTTTAGTCATGATGTCAATCCATTTAAAAATTTACTTTTTGCATGCTTACATTAAACATACTTACTTTAAACTAAAGGTAATACAAGAAGTAAATCACGGAATTGTGGAAAACATGCATAGAATGCTACTGATTGAGCTGATTAAAAATAATGTATGTCATTTAATTTAAATTAGGTTAATATATTTATTTATGCATTTGAAGCAATATATATGAATTTACAAAAAAAAAATAAAAAAAAATAAAAAAGAGAAAGAAAAGAAATTTTACATAAAGTTATTTTTCTCGGAATATTACTAGAGAGAGATACGAGTATTACTATGGAGTGACTATATTACTATAGATTGCATAAGACACCGGAAAATCCAAAATAATTTGAATAAATTAATTCTGAAATTAAAATCGCACACATAATTATATTTCAGAATGCAAGAATAGTGTTTCGATAGAAGGATTTAAATACTTTAAAATACATTCTGTTGCATATTTTCAGGCTAATCATAGATTTCCTTATGGTATTATATTTGTCTTGATAGAGGAAACGAAATAAAATGTCAAAATGGAACATCTATGGCTTTAGAGATGAATCTTAAACTAGAATACTTGATCGCAGTGGTCCACAGCATAGCTATGGTCGAGTGGTTGCTCACTACAAGCACCTTTTATGAGCATATATTAGTTGTTGGCTTTAGCACCGTATTCAGTAAAAAAAACTTAATCTATAACCTTTTGTCAGAGTTTCATGATCAGGGCAATTTAAGTAGGTTTGGATTTAAACTTAAAGAAAAGACACACATCAAAAGAAAATAGGATATTCCGAAGCAGGCGCCGAACAGCAAAGAAGAGTAACCTCAAAGATCTGTAGAACGCAGACGACATAATGACCGCATCTACTTATGAAGTACATCTTCAAGACGGTATTTTGCAGCGCCATGGAAAATAGAAATGAATGTAAAGTACTAACATAAAAAGACATTTGCAAAATTTGGAGCTAAATATAAAAGAGACACTATTAATTTTGACTTGGGTACTGCTCTAAACGTATATATCTTAAACACGCATTCTGTAAACACCTAACGATGTGTGATTGGATAGTCTCAAAACTCAATGCGGTTCATCCCTTTGGTTACTGAAATTAGAATCATGGAGAGATTTAAAATAGGCTGCACTTAACTATAATAACCACTGGTTGTCAAGGGGAATAATATTGTGTTATTGCATATGCAACAGCTCAACTTTATGTGACAGGCTAGATTTAAATTCGCAGCGTAGTTAAAAGATCGTTTAAAAATATGTAGTCTATTCTGTGTAGAAGCTTAATTAGCGCCATGTGAGGATTAAGCTATTTCCTTATGACAGGAAATCATGTTTATATACAATAGTACTTCAGAGGAGTATTTAATAAAATAATTTTAATGATAAATCATTTCTGATATAATCACCATACTTTAACTTTATTATACTGCACTTAGGCAATCACAGAAATAAGATTTATTCATTAAAATAAACAATATATTTTAATAAAATTCTTATTATAAAACTTGCTGAATTTGTTAGTCTGATTTCAAATGTCTGCCAAAATTTACTATCTGGATAATAATTTAAAGACTATCCCTAATTAGATGCTTTCCAAGGCCCTAAAGCTTTAAAATGCTTTTAAAGTTATCTAACATTTTTGGGGAAATATTTTTGGGGAATAGAAGTCATTCTTAAATTGGAAAACTGGTAAGATCTTTTTGTATTTTATTTTTAATTATTTTATTTTGTATGGGTTGACATCACTATTCTGCTGCGAATGACATCGTTACTACGCTTGCTTAAAATTATTCCGTTACTTTCTTTAAATAATAGCATTTTATAAAAATATATCACACATGATTATTACGTTATTTATTTTTTCAAATGAAATGCAAAAATGTGCCAAGAGTGTTTAATGATTGATTTACTAATGTGATTTGTAAATGAGCTTATATTGCATAAAGGAGAGATGTGCTTCAGATGAAAGTTTATATTATGTGATGATCAAAATTAAAAAAGAACAGGTACTGACACGTTTTACCGAAGGAAGTCCATTGCTGAGATATATTTATGTCATTACTGTTGCACTCTTCTGTAACTAAAAATAAAAGCATTCCAAAATGTTCAAGTTGTTTATTCATTAAAAAAACGCTGACTATCTATTACAGTGAAACGTAGCTTTTAGATTTTTTAAAGCATGAAATTCCGAAACATCAAGGATGAGAAATGTCTTTTGAATCGAAGTACTGAACACAGCTAAAATACTTCTTTATGATATTTAATTATGACTAATGACTAATATCAGTTTTAGAATACATTTATATTTTTGGATTGGTATATTTTGGTTCATGACAACGATTGTGCATTTGATGTAAAATTTGAAATATGGTATTAAAGTCGATTGCTTTTGATTATCTCGTACACCTTCAATATAATGAATTCTTTGCTGGAAATCATTTTCAAAATATTTCATTGAATTCTATGAACAACGACATATTTAAGAATGATTCCTACTGTCTCTAAACAAATCAAATCATATCGTCGTTTCGGTATTTTATGAGAGCTATTTTAGAAAGGTTCAAAGAGATCTAAGTTAAAAATAAAGTGTCAATTTGCCATAGGTCAGTGCCATAGGTCAATTTGTCAATAATTTTAGTAGTATCTTTAAACTATATTTCATATTTTTAATTTTTCTTTTATTGTAACCAGTATTATTCATAAAATATAATTCTTTAATATTAGGAAATTCGCAAAAATAAAAAGTGTAGGAATGAAACTCCTATAATCCAGAAGACGAGGGAAAAGCATCTAATATGTATATCTATGTAAATATTGTGTACACAGCGGAAATAAATGGGACAGTTCTATATCTCCCGTTCTAGTGGGCCGATTGACGATATTAAACGTGCGTTTTTCATGTCTCAAAAGCCAACTTAGGATATGTATTATACTATTTATATATAGAATTGTTCTAATACAGGTATTTCGACACAAAATCGGACTTTTTCTGAAATGACATGCCAATTTTATTCTATATATCGATTCTACGACTCAAATTATGCCAAACTGCCAAGCTTTGTAAAAATCGCACGAGTAGCTTTTAAAGAATTAGCTCTCAAATTTTAGCTCCACAATGTTAATTGAATTTATATGCATTTTTTAATAACTCCTGTTTTATTAAACTTATTTTATTCTTCCTTTCGTCTTTCGAAATTAAGGTTCATTCCAAATAAAACAGGCTTATTTTTTATGATTTATGTTTAAAATTTGTATTTTAAATAAATTTATAAATTTTCGAAAAATATTTCAAATTATAACCTATAAAAGTTTTGCCATCATCTTAAAGTAGATGTCTTTCTAAGCATTCATTCTTATTCTTTTTTATTCAAACTTTCCTTAGATATGAATTCGTGAATTTACATTCTGGCGTGTTTTGAAATGTGGTGTATTTATTGTAAGCGATAATAACGAAAATGCGGTTTACGCAACTTTGTTAAAATTATTTGCAAGTATGAACGATGACTTTTTTTTCCTCGCTCGTTGAAAATAAAGAAAAAGGAAAGGAAAATAGGTTGCTATAAATTAGGAAGTTAGACAAGTGAATTATTCTTGGCGCAAACTGAAGATAATGCACTAAGATAAATTTTAAAATTTCTCCGAAAATTTCTTACTAAAAATTAAAAAGTTTAATATGTAGGCATAATTTGAATCGTACACTCGAATTATGGAAAAAAAAAATTATGTTATTTCAGAAAAAGTCAGATTTTGTGTCAAAATACCTATGTTAGAAGAAAGCTAATAAGCTAAAGCTAAACTTAGACTATAACTCTAATACATAGTCTAAGTTGAACTTTCGAGACATGAAAACGCAATTTGAATTTCGTCAATCGGCCAGTAGAACGGGAGATACAGAATTGTCCGATTTTTGTTGTTGTTGTTGTTGGTGTTGTGCTGTATCCCTCCATGAAAGTATATATATATATATATATATATATATGCATACAAGTATATATATATATATACTTATATATATATATATATATATATATGCATACAAGTATATATATATATATATATATATATATATATATATATATATATATACACAACTTAATACTACAAATACAGTGCGACATGATATAGTTTACCTTGATTTGCATATTATAGTTTAGAATTTTTTGAAAATCTACGATTAAGGAAGAGATTTCAACTTTCCTACACTTAAATTAACCAACTGGAATTCCAATATTTCTAAAAGAATAGTCTTCAATTCAATTTACGCACAACTGCTTAGAATAAAAAGAATCTGCAATGCAACAAAATACCTCCAAGAAGAAGTATTTTACTTTGTAACAATTTTGAAGAACGACCTAATTCCGACAAAAGTAATTAAAAATGCGTTAAAAAAAAGCTGGAATTAGCTTTATCTTTTAGATTTTTTGAGTTAGATAATAAAATTTTATGCTTAAAGCCCTATGGGACGGTGTGAAGTGGATGGCTGATTCAGAAGATCCAATGCATAAATGTAAAATTAGTTCCTCTCACTGCTTCATTTTTTACTCTTAAAATTTGGCACAGTACTTTTAATTGTATTCTTAAATAGATTTTAAGCATTTTCTGGCCATTTCTTTCCTGTTATTTACTTATGGGCCATTTCTTTCCTGTTATTTACTTATGGGCCATTTCGTTTATGGAAGCTTGATCGCCCTCTAGCTTGAAGAATTTCGATTTAACAACAATTTACTATTTTTCCTTATTTCTTCTTACTTTTGTGGCCATGTTACATACTGTTGAATTAGACATTTTTTCTTTTACCCGTGCCCATATTTCTTCAAACTCGTAGAGCAAGACGCCATCTTGAACAGTTTTTGCATTCTACAACACATTGCCTCCCCTCTTAACCTTTTGAGGCCGCGGCTTTGGTAGCAGTAAAAGGTACCAAAGGACGGGGAATCTTGAACCGACCGCTTTACCCCCTTTAAGAAATCACCTCCTATTTGCAACAAAGATTCGTGTGTGTAGTTTAATGGATTCTCAGAGGGGTGCATCTATGTCACAAAAGGAAGACCTTTGAAAGAGATAAGTGGTTAAAACCCCAGGGACGTCAAATTTGACATTTCACCCTACTTTTCAGCCTGGAAAAATGGGGGCCACTAAAGTGGACAACCCCGTCTTTTCAAAGAGAGGACTCTATGGCCACTATAATGGCCATCCCGTCTTCAAAAGGTTAAACTGAGTCAGGTTTATGACAACGGTCAATCACTTTTCATTGGCTCTTTACTCATGACGTTTATTCCCCTTTTTACATCGTACTGCCTAGTTGATTAGCAGCTTACTTGCTCGAGGCTTTCAGCCCCTATTTGAGTTTGCATCGTTACTGTAATGAAGACATCGACGATCCAGGTCTGGTTTTTAGCAAATCGCTATTTATTTTATTTTGTACATTGGCATTACCAGTCCATTATCTATAGTTATTATTACACCTTAATGTGTTTCTCCAAGCGGACGCGTCGGGAAATTGGAACAGAGAATTGAGACTAAAGTTTATGACGAAGTTTTTTTCAATTAATTTATAAAAAGTGTTTGTATTCAGTTTCAATTGTCTGTTTCAGCGAAACGCGGAGTTAGCTGGATTCGAAAATCATTAAACGAAATTTCCCCTGAAGAGCCTTAATGAGATTTGAATTGGGCTAATCTACCATTTACCGCTTCTTTGTTTTTGTATTTTTGCTTAAAGCATTTGTCGCACTTTAATTCTAATGTTTAAAATATGCCTTACTTTTATCAGCATATTGCTTACAATTAGTACTGAGTTTTTATTTGTAAATATTGAAGTGCTTATATTGTTTATTTAATCTTTTTTACACATTTCATTGCACTTTATTTTACTTATGTTAATATTTTCACGGAACCACAGTATCTAAACAACTTTTTAGGGTACGAACTAGGAATTTTCTTTTAACTTTTTTCTAAATTTTGCAGCTCAATGCGCAAAGTTTTTGACCACATAGGTCTTTATCGTTTGTTCTCTTTTCTTTAACTATATATATATATATATATATATATATATATATATAAACACACACTGGTAGAATATTCTTCATTGCCATATATTCAAAAAACTAATAAGAAGACTGTTCGCTTTAATAAAACTATTGAGGGTTTAGAAGTAGATTTTAGAAAGAGAATTTCCTTTACCATTGCCAAAAAATCTCGGAAACGAACGGCTGCCAAGAATTATTTGTGCGAATTTCTGAATACTAATTATCCTTGGAATAAGCCGTATCGTTTAGCCCAGTGGTCGGCAAACTTATTAGCCAAAGAGCCAAATATGAACATTACAACAATTAAAAAAAAATTGGAAGCCAAATCTGCTTGTTTAGTAAACTTTTATTACACTAAATAAAACTAAATTTAATACTTAATAAATATTTATTAATGCGAACAATGTGCTTGCATCGCCTTGGAAAGTTGAGTAAGTCAGGTTTGTATGTTGTTTTTAATTTTAGGCATGATTCCAAGTTATCATCAATAAGACGACTTCTCAGTTTACTCTTGATAATTAATGTTCATGCTTGAAAAAGATTGTTCGCATATATATATGTAGAACCTAAAGGGGAAAGAACAGCAAACGCGAGCTTTTTCAGCTGATCGTAAGAGTCAGGAATACTATTCCAAGCGTTGAAAATGATCATGTCTTCCTTCTCCAGGTCATTCAAAGCAGACCACTTGTGTTGTAAACTAAGATCACATTTTTCTTCTCCAATATTTCCAGTTCAACACAAAGACGTTCGAATTTAGAGCGCCTATCTCCTTGCTTTTTAAATCCAGCAATTGTATTTCAAAGCTACTAATGTCAATTTCAAAAGGAGAAAATTTCAACTCGATTATCGTAACATTAAGAGGATTTTTGACAAATACTAAAGTTGCTCTGCTGTTTAAATTCTTGAAACCTGCTGAGAAATGCTTCCCTCATATTTAAAATTATTGTTTTAAAATGGTGTTTATCAATAGAGGAATTATTTTTTTGGCGATGCTTCAGCAGGCTCCGAAAAAGAAAAAAAAATGTTTCCCTTTCAAAATTCTGTGCAAAAAATAGATAATTTAGTTTCGAATGTTATTACT